GTTCACAGCAAAATTGAGAGGAAGGTACAGAGATTTCTCATATGTTCCATGCCTCCCACACATGCGTAGCCTTCCCTATTATTACTATTTTCCACCAGAGTGGTACATTTGTTACAACTAATAAACCTACATTGACACATTCTAATCAGTCAAAGTTCATAGTTTACTTCAGGCTTCACTCTTGATGCTGTATATTCTGTGAATTTGGACAAATGTATAATGATATGTATCTATTATTGTAATATTATTGACAGAACAGTTTCACTGCCCTAAAAGTTCTCTATAATATGCCTGTTTATCTCTCACTTTCTCCCTAGCAACTCCTGGCAACCATTGATCCTTACTCTGTCGTCATAGTTTTACTTTTTTTCAGAAGAGTTATATAGTTGGAATAATACATTGGGTATCTTTTTGAATAGTTAAAAAAAGCTCCATCATAATTGAATGTAGTCATTTAAGATGTACTTTGTCCTTTTGTTTTTCCTTTGCTTCTTTATCATTGTAAAGAATGATATATGCTGATGACATATGCTTTACATACTTAGAAAACATGATTTGTATAGGTATTTGCCACATAATGGAAAGGGTTGAGGAAAAGGACACCATGCAGTACCACACAGCACAAACTGGGGCCTCTTGCTCTATGAGGTGGGTCCAGATAGACTCTCTAGCAGTGAAAGGGGACAAGTTCCAGGGGTTGTACTTTATAAAACTGGAATCACAAAGTTTTTCTTACTTACCTTCGGTTAGAAATAAGAGCAGACAGTGAATGCTATAGGTAAATACATAGGTTCCTCACTGATCCTCTTCCTTTGAGGGATGAGTTTGACAACAGGCTATTATAATGACATGACTCACCTACAACTAGATTCTGTCAGGAGGGATGGCAAGAGAGTTTTGCTTTATGTAAGGTGAAAAAGAATTTTTTTGCCGTTACTAGGGAGAAGGGCAAACATTAGAACATTCTGGTAGTAAAAGGGCATTGATATGGTTTTCTTTCTATGTATTTTCACATCATATAGTACTGCCTGGCAGCCTGCCACACCTCCCCAGTGTTTCTTAAGCTTCTCTCTGAATGTGAGGTGTCGTTTGTAGTGGATAAGCTCTTAAAGGAGTGATATTTCCAGTGGTTTTTCTGTGGGTGGTAAAATGGCAGGTGAATTTGGGCCTTGTTATACGTAGGGCAGAGCAAATAGCTACAACTGTGTAAACCATCCAGCACCTTCCCCAAAGAGTAGTAGCCAGAGTAACATGTTGATCTCTTTTGATCTCTTTTCCACTAGCAGCTGGAAAGTCTTTGCAAGGATTCCTGTTTCTGATCGGATTCCTATGTTTGGCTGGCTTCTGATGATAGGGCGTTTTATCCTAAACTGAACAGTTTGAGCTGAAGAGATAGAGAGGCTGTGTTGTGTTATAACAAAATAAATACAGTAGTTCCCCCTTAACTGTAGGAGATACATTCCCACGCCACCAGTGGATGCATGGAACTATGAATAGTACTGAACCACAAACTGTTTTTTGCTATACATACATATCTAGGATAAACTTTAATTTATAAATTAAAATAAATCTGATGTTATCTGCAGATAGAGTGTGAGAATTGAATTGTGTCATCAGTAGAAATGATTGCTTGCTTGTTGGTGGGGGAAAAACTCTCCACACATTTGGTCACAGAAGCCTTCTTTGGTGATGATTGTTGCTGTGGCGTGACAGCAGAGAAAACCATGTCAAGTATGTCTTTCTGCACATATGGTGGACAAGGGGTACTACTGTATACTCTGTTTTAACTGCCCCTCATGTTTTGGTTCAGATATCATGCTCTCTGACACTGTTGACTCATCACACTTGTTCTGCTAACAATAACATTTTTACCCAATCTCATAGGGTTTGACTAGGATGACTTGTATACTGCGGTTTACTTGTAGATACCAAATTTTAATAAATTTATTCTTCTTTGCTTTTAATAAATACAAAGGGAAGTAACGGTTCTGAATGCATTAATTACCTACCAATAGGTATAATTAATGTTAATTCTAATAAGGTCCCAGGTATGCTTCCAAAGGAATTCTTTGTAACAAAGCATCAGTCATGTGCTTTACAAAAACAAACCAAAACAAAACAACAACAACAACAACAACATGATCTAAAGCATACACACAAGTGTGCACAGTTTTTTTAATGAAGGTAGAGTCTTGCTATGTTTCCCAAGCTGGTCTCAAACTTCTGGGTTCCTCAAGTGATCCTCCTGCCTCAGCCTCCCAAGTAGTTTTGATTACAGGCATGCGTCACTGTGCATTCTTTTGCTTTTAATATTCTGTATATTTATTATTGATTTAAAATGCATTTTGCCTTTTTCTTTAATAGATGTTGGAAGTTCTGATGAATCTGCAGTCAGATAAGATTTTATAGATTTAAAAATTATGTTAACTAAGGAAATATAGATGGAAGAAACTAGTATCTGTTGAGTGTCATAGTCTGGGCTGGACATCCTGTTTATCATCTCATAAAGCCATCACAACATCTGTGTTTCTATAAGCTACTGTTTATTAAATAAACAACTATGGATTAGAGCAGTTGATTAATTGGCTCATGATCCCATAGTTAACAAAGTCACTGGCCCACTTTGATCATCAGCCTGCCTGCCTTCCAAATCCCTTCTCTTGCTCCTCAGCATAGGTCGATAGACATCTGTGTAGCCCTTGGATCAAGGTATAGGTCTGAATCAGATTAATCAGATTCATTAATTTAATGTCTAAATTAATGAGAGTTTAAATACCTTCAACTCTCATTTAAGGTTATCATTAGAATGTGGTTAGTCCAAGAGTTTGTCCTGATAAATTTGACAATTTCAGTGGTAACCAGTATCTTATTTTTACCACAAAGGCTTTAGGGCAGATTTTACTTAGCTATGGCCATAGAACTGTAAGTTTTACAAAATCAAATTTAGGCAAGCCTTAGAAATTATTTGATTTCCCGGTTTTGTTTTCCATTTAGGCTAGTATTTTTGCTTACTTCCATAATACTTTTTTTAGTCTTGTTTCTTTTTCCGTGAATTTTCCATAATATCGTATTGATTTTTTAAAACTTTCTTCTCTGCTTTTTTTGGTGTTTCTTTTATTCTATTATTTTTTTCAAATTCTGCTATGTATTCCCAGTTTTCCTATACACAGAATCAAAAGCACATAGAATTACAGAATTTTAAGGAATCTTAGAATGAATTAAAATACCTTGTAGTATTTTCACGTGTGTTGAATATTCTGGTGAAGTGATTCTTTAGATAGAGAACTTGAGACTCAAAAAGATTAGGATGGTTTTTTTTTAGACATAGGAATTGGCAGAAATGAGATTTGTACTCATTTTAAAGCCCAGTACTCTTCCTTCTTTTTATATCCTATTGGCGTGTGTTTAATAATACAAACGGGAGTGAGCCTCTTGCACCCAGTGGATAGAATGAAGGTGGAATTAGCTAGTGAACCCAATGAAAGTGGGTAAGAATGGAATGAGCAGAGGAAGGCCAAGTTTGAAGAGAAACACTTATCAATAAATTATAAAGATGATGGACATACAAGATGTTGGGAATTATCTACAAAGGCACATTAAAATAGATTCAAAGGAGCTCTAAAAAATTTGCTGCTTTTTTTTATTTATCAAGGACTGACAAACTTGGAAGATTTTTACTGAAAGATGCTAAAACATTTTGAGACACTGGGAGGAGTGTCTACAGCAGATAGAAATGTGGCATCATCTACTTCCTTCCTGACTTACAGAGGGGTGCCGTAGAGCCCCTGGAATACTAAGGGACTGGAGACTGCTGAACTACACAGATCTGTGGCCCAGGACAGGTGGTCTCCTCACCTCTGCCTCTTTTCCCAATTCACTGATGTCCTTCCTTTGTTCATGTAGGCTCGATCAGGGGCATGATTGGCTGGCAAATCATTCATGGAGTTCAGTTGGGGACCTTGGTAGTGTGTCTGTGCTGGGGGCAGGTGATGGAGATTCCAGTTAGCTTGTTTTTCAGGAGCAGGGATATAGAGGGCTCCTACACTTGGTCATTTGAAGCCTTTCTTTCAGGAATCTGTGCTTTCATAGACTGAAGATTTGAAGATTGGAGACTTCTGTGGAGCCTTGCAGAAGTGGAATCTGGAAGCGGGAGCCTATAGGAAGACAGATATTTAGATAGTACTTAGGGAAATAGAGGCACAATTAGCAGGACTCTGTTTTTCCACCAGGCTTTCTCCTTGGGTGTCTGAGTGCCTATAAAAATCTTTAAGGGCTTGCTAGTTTATGTGGATCTGAATAAGGCAGGACATATAGAGTGGAAATAATGGAATTTTATTATTGTTAATGTTTTAATCTTTCTGGGCAAAGTATTCTCAGTAAGAACATACACCTTTGTTGTTTGGTTTTTGTACATTTAGCTTTCATACATTTCAAATATTGCAAGAGAGTCCCTGTACTGATTTAGGGCAAAGGAAAGCAATAGGACCTTCCTAAGTGGTTTCCTTGCTGAGAACTCAAGACTGCCATTTTGAAGTGATGCAGATTAGTCTTTTAACCAGAGGTAGATCATGGACAAGAGACAGTGGATCTCTCTATCTTGTTTTAGGTCATCGATTTTCTTCCAGATTAGGTAACAAAATGTATGTCATCCATTAATTGAATTTTAAGTTCAGCTTCAGGAGAGATAATTTGTGAAGGTAAATTATTGTCAGGCTCTGCCAACATATTGACTGTCACTATTTGTTATAGAGCTCATGGTCAGTTTTCATTGAATATTTTATAGATTTAGACAGGTGGAAGCAGAAATAGGTAACTAAAATCTTTTACTACAGAGGACGTATTTTAATTATATCAAGAATTATTATTTAATATGTAGATCACAGACCTTTCCCCAGGTTATGGTTTCCTTTTTTGAGGGGGAAGCTGGATATAAACTGGTATTTAAAAAAATTGTAAAGAAATCAACTTGCTCATTTTCATTGTACATTTTTGCTCTCAAGCATTTTCCGTGATCTGTGTGTGGATTTATTGCCTGCATCGGATGATGAAGACTTGAGTGTTGCTACTAAGGTAAAGTGATCTCTTGTAAAATTACTTTTCACTCTGAATCCAGTTTTGCATAGTATTTACTTTTAAAACTTAGCAGTGGTATACCTATCATAGTTTTATGGTGGTAATGGAAAGTTGGTCAGAGAAAAACATACATGTAGCTAGTTGATTCAAAACATTTGTTTAACTTTGGTAACTAACAAAGATTGATAAGTCCTGTGACAGGGTGTGAGCTGAAGAAAATGAACTGGAAAGTAAATAGTGACAGAAAAATCACATTAGGAAATGCTTTCTCCAATAGAGGAAACATGAAATTTGGTTAAGGTTTATTTGGATAAATACAACACTTTGATTTTTAAATCATATGAGAGTGACTTTCATAATATTTATGCCTGTATAAATCTTCAGTGGATCAAATTATTTGCAGTAATCATGGACTCCCCCAGGACCTTTTAGTTGCAAAATTGTTGAGCACATAGCATAGAGCTTTTTTTTCTTGGAAACTTACAATTTTGGTATCATACAGTTTTTAGGAGAGATTGTTTCTCTACTTATATTGTTGGTTCTGTAATGAGACTAAAATAGTATTAAAAATTGCAGGAAAAATCACTTGAATGTGGTGGTGTAGACTTGTGGTCCCCGCTACTTGGAAATTTGAGGCAGGAAGATTGCTTGAGCCCAGGAGTTTGAGAAGAGCCTGGGCAACATAACAAGACTATCTGTCTTAAAAATATAAATTGTGGAAATGTAAAAATTTAAATTTATGCTCTCAAAATTTGTATCGCAAAGGGATTTTTGTGTGTTTTATAAGTTGTCCATGAAGAGTTTATATAAAACACTTCATCTAATTGAATAACAAGTATTTTGCTGCAAATAAACAGTTCTAGAAACAGAGACTTGTAATACCAATATGGTAAGACTTTTAACATCATAATTTTGTCATTGTAGTTTATTTAAAATATTTACTTGGCCAGGCGCAGTGGCTCACGCCTGTAATCCCAGCACTTTGGGAGGCCAAGGTGGGGGATCACCTGAGGTCAGGAGTTTGAGATCAGTCTGGCCAACATGGTGAAAGCTTGTCTCAAAAAAAAAAAAGAAAAAACACAAAACTTAGCTGGGCATGATGGCATATGCCTGTATTCTCAGCTGCTCAGGAGGCTGAGGAGGGAGAATTGCTTGAACCCGGGAGGCGGAGGTTGCAGCAAGCCAAGATTGCACCATTGCACTCCATCCAGGGTGACATAGCAAGACTACATCTTAAAAAAATGAAATAAAATAACCACTCAAAGTCCTTATATCACATTCTGAAATTTTGAGTTTCAGAAGTTTTTATATTTAGTTGTTTAAGTAATCATTGGAAACTCCTGAATACCATGAGCTACTGGAGGTCACTAAACATATTTACATGTATCCTGGAGTACGTAGAATACAGTCTTCCATGTAAGAAGCATTTTAATTGTTGTTTTTTGAGATGGGGATTCACTCTGTAACCCAGGCTGGAGTGCGGTGGTAAGATCTTGGTTCACTCCAATCTCCATTTCCTGGGCTCAGGTGATCCTCACACCTCAGCCATCCAAGTAGTTGGGACTATAGACCTGTGTCACCATGCTTGGCTGATTTTTGTAGTTTTTATAGAGACAGGATTTTGCCTTGTTGCCTAGGCTGATCTTTAACTGTTGGGCTCAAGTGTTCTGTCTGCCTCAGTCTCTCAAAGTGCTGGGGTTACTGGCATGAGACATTCAGCCTTAATAGTTGCTTAATCTGAATAGACAAATAAATTTTTATATAGTGCAAGATTATAAGTAATATAATATACCTCATGTATCTAATGATTAAACTTTTAAAATATTGCTTACATTTGCATTGTTTTTTAATATTTAAGGATGTGTAAGTTTTGATGTGTTATGTTGAGAAATTATACCATACATAAAAAGGAAATAAATTAGAAATAGGTCATTAGTAGCAATGAGAATTACAATATATTTTCAAGTGTCATTCAACTGGAATCTTAACATTGTGATTTTAGATTAATATTTCTTGTGCTTTTTATTAGCCCCAACTCATGTTCTTTGAAATTTACCTTTTCAAGCCATACATGACTCTTTAGAATTCTGGTGACCAATTCTTTTTCTAGGTGGAAAGTTGAAAGTTCCAGGTTTCTCTCTTTGTTATAATAATGTTCTTTCAGGTAGTGGTAGATGACCATATTTAAGTAATTGAATGTCTTAGAGTAATAAACTGTATCACAGAAGTACTTACAAAAAACTAATTGTAGCATAAATATTTATTAGTATTATTAGGGATATGAAAGACCAAAAGGCTCTGTTACAGATCTGTTTCTCCATTTACTTTATTGTACTTCATGTTGTTTATTTTCTTTCTTGGCGTAAGCTCATATTTCATTGACCAATTAGGCTTGTTTTTTGTTTGTATCTCCCTTCGTTCTCACATTTTAAGTTGAAATTTTTGTGGAGTCAGGGTCTTGTTCTGTTGCCCAGGATGGAGTGTAGTGGCATGATCTTGGCTCACTACAGTCTCCGCCTCTAAATCTCAAGTGATCCTCCCACATCAACCTCCCAAGCAGCTGGGATACAAGCACACACCATAAAGCCTGACTCCTTTTTGTATTTTTGTGTAGAGATGTGTTCTCATTATGTTGCCCAGGCTGGTCTCAAACTCCTGAACTCAAGCAATCCACCCACCTTGGCCTGGCAAAGGGCTGGGATTACAGGTGTGAGCCACCATGCCTAGGCAATATTGAGGTTTATTTAAAGGAATTGATTAGGGCTGGGTGTGGTGGTGCACACTGGTTATCTCACCACTTTGGGAGGCAGAAGTAGAAGGTTTCCTTGAGCCTAGGAGTTTGAGACCAGCCTGGGCAATATAATGAGGCTTTGTCTCTACAAAAATAACAATAAAAACATTAGCCTGTCATGATGGTATGCACCTGTAGTTCTAGCTGTTCGGGAAGTTGAGGTGGGGGAAGATTGCTTGAAGTCAGGAGGTTGAGACTGTAGTGAGCCATAATAATGCAACTGCATTCTAGCCCTGGTTTGACAGAGTGAGACCCAGTTTCATAAAAAGAGATTGATAAGAAACTCTTGATGCAACTTATTATAATTTTTAAAATGGAAACTTTTTCTTGATATTACCTTAGCAGTGTGTCCCCGAGAAAGTGTCAGAGCCTTTACCTGGACTTTCCCATGAAAAAGGAAACAGAATAGTCAGTGGAAAAGGAAAAGGTGAGATTCGTATTTTGTTTAAAAAGTCATTTGATGGAATGTTTCTTTTAAAATATAAGCACTAATATAGTCGAATAGCTAAAGAAAATGTCCCGTTAACTGTATAATAAGTAAAGGAGAGGTAAAATGGTGATAAGTTTTGTCTCTAACCAAGGGTCAGCAGTTGATTCTATTGGGAGTACCACTAAAGGAGCTGAGTTATGAGCTCCATTTTAAGACACTCTAAGACCTGAAGCAAGTCAGGAAAGAGGGAATGGAAATGAACAAAAGAGAAAGAATGAGGAGGGCAGAGTGTACATGGAATAAATAAAATATGCGGGTGTATGTAATGGAGGGTGGTAAACTCAAATTGTTCTGTATAAGAAGGAAGAACATGGTGTTAGAAATAGGAAAGAAGATAAAGTGAGCTTCCAGTACCAAAACGTGTCAGAGAATTAGAGTAACATTTTCCTACTCTTGCTATCATCCTCACTACTGGGAAGGCATTAAGGATTGAGGTACTTTACTACACAGACCTGTGTTTTATCTACCATAGATGAGCATCACCAAAAATGGTCAGCCATGTATGGCTATAATTTAGTTTTATAGAAAATGTTGTAACCTCATGGGATAGTATCATATAGGTCAAATTAACATAATTGAAAAGAATAGTATTGGGTGATTTATGGAGAAGAAATTAATTAGAGAAGGTATTGCCTGATTAAAAGTTCATTAGGAACACTATGGCTTATAATGTAGTATTAAATTCAGGGACATAATAGGGAAGAAATTGAGGCTAGGCCAAAAAGGGCAACTAGGGTAAACAAATATGGAAGCATATCAGTGTAGAACAGGGCATTCAAATTCTCATGAATTAGTTGAGGAGCTTCTGCAAAATGCACATTCTGATCGATTCTGCCTTTCTCATGAATACTTAGGTGATGTTGGTGCTGGTCCTTGGACATAGCTCTGAATAGCAAGGGAATAGCCTTCCTTTAGAGAAATCCGGAAAAAGAACCATTGGATAGCAATTTTAAAAATAACAGAATCAAGGGAAAGCATTGATTTCCTTTTATTTCTGAGCGTGATTCCAGCCATAGGGGAAGGAGAATGAGATGAAAAGAGAGATTACAGGTGTATACTATTGCTGAATACAGATGAAAACAGTGGTCACAATTATCCATAAAAAGCAGTTAGGAAGGGAAGCACGACAGATCTAAAAATCACTTTTTCAAAGGAAGAGGGATTGTGAAAGGACAAGGAGGGAGGAAAGAAAGACATTTGCTGGGGTCTTGGGAGTTAAAGCTAAGTAAACTTGAGACAACTCACTTCCAGTTGCTTCAGCATATACCCAGTCTCACAAAAGAGGTTATTGCCGTGGGGAGTATTGGAGGCAGGAGGGAGTGCTAGAATTGGGGTAAACCACAGCAGCTCATCTCACTTCATAACTGTCAGGTCTCAGAGAGAGAAGTCTCATTGACATGAGTGAATAAGATGTGATTAAGTTGCATATAAATGCTTTGGCTAATTTTTTTTTGAAACAGTCAGTTCTTTGATATGATAGGTGTTTTATAAAAGTCCTTTACAGTGTAAGATGATATACCAAACTTAGCTAATTTTAGAAGCAATAATATTGTAAAATTCATTCTGTGAATACCAAAATTGTCATTTTCAATAAATATTGCACTAATTTTGCAATATGAAAGTGTATTCATATCCAGCAAGTCTGTGGTAATTCAATGTTTTCTTTTTTGATAAATGTTTTGATATTGGAAGCTTATTGTACATGGTTTGTTTGGTGTGTTTTTTGGACTGCCTTGCATGAGTGGATCAAGGAGCTCTAATTCAAGGCCAAATGAGGAGATAGGAGAAATGTAGGTGCTGCAGTAGCCCATGCAGTCATGGGAAAAATGAGCATTTTAATTAGTGTCATTTCATAAATGTGTATCCTAGGTGATCAATTTAGAACACTCTCTTTAATGAGAGGTGAATTGCACATTCATCCAAACTGTCATCTCAACTGTGTATTTCCTCAGTGACAGGACAGGAGAATTTGTTTGTGGTGTGCTGGCAGCAATGCCTCTGATGTGTTGAGTGAAAATGCTCTGTACATTCACCATCAGCTTTGACATTGATTCCCTCAGGTTTGATTTGCTCCTCTGTTTAATGGTCTCTTTTCTCCTCATCAGCCCACGTGTTCACGGTGCTATCCATGGTTTTCTATTTTAGGTATAGGCATTAGAAACATAATCTCACTACTGAAATGTAAACTGCGTTTTAAGAATCCTATATTCCTATTTTTCTCATATTTCTGTCATGTTGCTGTCCTAGGCAATGAAAAGAACATGTCAAGAAGAACCTCAAAACCTTAAGTAATTATTTTTATAGCCTGGCATGAGAACTCAGCTTGATAGTAACACTGCATGAATGTTTGCTTGGCCCTGTCATACTCATACTTACTTGTAATTGATGACATATCCCCTTTGCTTTGTAGGGCTTCCTGCAAAACATCCTTCCTTGAAGGTAATTCATTATGTATATTTTTTGAATCACTAACTCCATATTGTATAAAATATATATGATTTATGAATCATTTTCTTTTAAAACCCTTTCAGCCTAGCACTGAAATGGAAGATCCTGCTGTGAAAGGAGCAATACAAAGAGAATGTTCAGACATTGAGAGCAGGTATGTTTTCAATACAAATGGAATGCTGGAAATAAGTACATCAAATGATTGAAAGTACTGACATTATTCTTAACCTCTAATTCATTGACATAAATGTTATTGTTGGTATCTACATTTGAATAAAAATAAATTTAGAAGCATAAAAAAGATTTTAAAAATGTAAGCTGTAACTCAGATGTTTCTGTTTTAATGTTTTGAATAGTATAAAGTTTTCAATATAAAATTTTTATACTTGTCAGGGATTCAAAGCAGTGAATTTTGAGACTCTAGGATATTTCCAGTGAGTTATATGCTAGTTGGAGTTCTGATCTTTACCTAGAGGAAAGCTTTACTTATTAACGTGTCAGTTTCTGTTTTAACTATAGAGACTTGCTGCTAGTGTTATTACACTGATGATCTGAAGCCAATCAGATGTTCCAATGAGCAGACTGTGTGTGTATGTGTATGTATAGGTGTGTGTATGTGTGTGTTTGTGGCGTCTTTGATTATTAAAAATTAAGGAAGTATACATTTATAACTGGTAGAGTCTTTTAAAAGGGTTATTTTGAGACTTTTTGGTGTTAAGGTTTTTGAAACATGATTGCATAGAGGCTACCGACATCATAAATGGATTGTTTTTCATTTCAATGCCCTTTTGAAATCTTCATATTGTGATGCTCAGAAATAATATGCATAATTTTTTATTTGTGTCCTAAAATGGTATGTGAGTGGGTTATACACTTTACATACCTTTCTGCCACTTTCTTTGGTGTATTTTGTATTATATTTTCCAGATGCATCCACACTGATATGATTATCTCTGGTTTAATTCATTTTACACTTTTCATTGTATTCCCTTAAACCACTTTACCACATTTAGTTAGACTCTCCTGTTGCTGATAAATGAAGAAAGAAAGAAAAATAAAAATAATGTCAGATTAAAAAGGCTTTTGTTTAATCAGTTTGTATCTATTAATGTTTACTATACGAGAGTTTAAAGCTGAAAAGTTCAGAATGGAAGCATGCACCACCATAGTTTATAAACGCCCTTAGAACTGTGATTCATGAGCCTTTAGCCTGTGAAGTTAGGACAATTCATTTCTCTGAAGAAGTTTGCTGTGCTGTTCTCAGAAAAGAAAACTGAAAAGAGCAAATGGCATTGTCTTATTTGACCTCTTGGACATCCTTGAATGAAACTGAAACTCCGGGGATACTCAGATCAAAATTCAGAACTAATGTTTTGAACAATATATATAGTTTGTGAATGTCTAGTGATCATGAGCCCTTGATGGTGAAATGAACTTTCAAGTTTCACTTTTACATTTTTTTGCTCTTTTCCTTGACTTGTCTTAAACGCTTAAATTCAATAGTTTTATTTATACAGAAACCGGGAATAGAACTTGTTAAATATATTTCTGTCCTGTCTCACGGCATTGGGTATGCTTCAGATCTAGTGTGAACTAGACTTATTTTTATATGGGAACAATTAGGTTTTTGTGTGTTTGTTTGTTTGTGTTTTTGAGACAGTCTTGCTCTGTCACCCAGGCTGGAGTGCAGTGGCTCAGTCTTGCCTCATTACAACTTCTGCCTCTCGAGTTCAAGCAATTCTCCTGCCTCAGCCCCTTGAGTAGCTGATACTACATGTATATGCTACCACACTCTGCTAATTTTTCTATTTTTATTAGAGAGGGGATTTCACCATGTTGGCCAGGGTGCTCTCCAATGCCTGACCTCAGGTGATCTGCCCACCTCAGCTTTCCAATGTGCTGGGATTACAGGTGGGAGCCACTGTGCCGGCTACAGATAAGATTTTTTAAGGCTATTATATTTTATGCAAATCTTTGGTCTATATTTAAGGCTTCATATATGAATTCTGAAGGTCTTCATGCGTTGAGGGAAGATGAAAGCAGTTTTTAATTTAATGTATATTCATTGAAATGTTTTTTGAAGTTTTTGTCTCTAGTACACAGAAACACAAAATAATGTCATGGGTATTTAATCTTAATGTGTTTATGCGCAAAGTTAGTTATTCAAATATTTTCTTATCTCTGAAGAATCTTAATTATTAAAAAAATTATCGTGGAAAACAAAATATATAATAGACATTGTTGAATGATTCAAAGTAAATTGTAGTAAATAACAAAAGCTCAGAACAAAGTGAGAGATTCTAGTTCAGTAAACTTGTCTGAGTTAATAGCAATTATAGGACTTGTAAAATACATTAGACCACGAAGGAGTAGTGTGTTTGTGGGATAGAGGACAATATGGTACTGCTTCAGTGAAGAAAGAATTTTTATACTTTATTACAATTTATATTACTATTTACATTCTAATAAATGAAAACTTTATTTTCAGATATTTTAGATTATATTTCTACTACTTGAACCATCAATAGTAAGACTTTTCAAAAATTTGGGAAGTTGTGAGTTGATGATAAATATCTATCACCATCAGTGATGAAAAATCAGACAGCGACCTCAAACTTTGGACATACGAACTTCGTAGTTAAAGAAAGGATTAATCTTGAAACTGTGTTTCTATCAGGGAATTATACTCTTCATTACCTGTGTGAATCACAGCTATTACAGTAGAAAGAGAGCAAGGAAGGGAAAGAAGCATGGAAAATTTTATTCTAGATTCCCTCGGTTGGCTTCATGCTACCATAGTTCTGACTTGTAAAGTCATTTTGTGGTCAAATGTACTTTGTGTTTACTCCCCTTATGCAGCCTACAGCCAAACATAATGCTTCTTGGCAAGGCATTTGTATTCTTCCTTTAAGGAAAGCAACATATAAATAACAAAGAGAATGAGGAGAAAGAGTAATTTCATTGAGGTTAGTATTTAACATAAATTGGAGTGTGGGTACCATGATTATATTTAGAATTTTGGGGCTAGATTCGAAAATGAAGTAGATGTCTACAGATTTCCTACTCAAACACAATGTGGCTTTGATTCATTTTTACATCTCTAATTTTGCAATTATTAGGTATAATTATATGCAGTGTCACTAAAAAATACCTTCCCAAACCAAATATTAAATGATGTCTATGGCTTTCTGTATTATAGTGTTGATTTTTCCAATATTAATGGGAACCATTGAGCATTTGCCTTGTAGTGTCTCCTCAGCTGTACTCACACATTCCATCACCTTGTCTTAATGGATAATCATGCACTAGGAATACAGGTTTTCATTAGAGCTGTATCATTTCAAGATAACACATGAGCATCAAATTTAATTCTGCCAGAACACCCAGTCTATTGATTAACTGCAGAACTATGGGGTCTACTTTACATACAAGTTAAATTCAGTGCTCTTAGTCATATGAGCAGGTGAACAGTAATAAATTATGCATGATTTTTTCACTCCTATAGTTTTAATTTCTTTTTCCCTTTATGTCTAGAATTAACATTTTGTTTTATAAAACATGATGATAATCTTCTAGAGTAGTGATGACAAGCTATAAATCCAAAGTTTCTTACCTATGCAAATGGCTTGTTTGCTTCTATTTTCTCATGAGCTTGGTAGATCCAGGAAGCAGAACTTTTAAAACAAAATCCCCAAATGTGGCAGGGCGTGGTGGCTTGTGCCTGTAATCCCAGCACTTTGGGAGGCCGAGGTGGGCGGATAACCTGAGTTTGGGAATTTGAGACCATCCTGACCAACATGGAGTAACCCATCTCTACTAAAAATACAAAAGTAGCTGGGCATGATGGCACATGCCTGTAATCCCAGTTACTCGGGAGGCTGAGGCAGGAGAATAGCTTGAACCCGAGAGGCAGAGGTTGCGGTGAGCTGAGATGGCACCATTGCACTTCAGCCTGGGCAGCAAGAGCGAAACTCCATCTCATCTCTAACAACAACAACCACCACGACCACCACCACCACAAAACCCAAATGCATTTTCTTGGCACAGTAAAACTGAAACAGAAAAAGTATAAAGTAAATACAAGTAACTGAAACAGTTTATGTGTATTATTTTACTTCTCATTTGATAATTTTTGTAAAGTAATGAGCAGAATGTATTTCTTTGGGGACCCAGATATATATATTTATTCATTCAATAAAAATTCATTCTTATAATGGCCACTGATACTTATATTCTAAATATTTCTAAAAACATCTCCTCAGACCTGCATCATCTTTGCAACATTGCCTTACATTTTATCTTTGTTCATTTATTTATATGCCTCAGAATTTTATGCTCCTCACAGTATTGAGTTAATTATCTCTAATGTAAATAGATCTGTGAACCACTCCTGAATACCTAATGTCCAAGCATATTAAAGGTTTATATAAGGCTTTCAGAAACTGACTTCTGGGTTGGGCACGGTGGCTCATGTCTGTAATCCCAGCACTTTGGGAGGCTAAGGTGGGTGGACGATTTGAGGTCAGGAGTTCGAGACCAGCCTGGCCAACATGGTGAAACCCCATCTCTACTAAAATACAAAAATTAGCAGGCGGTACTGGCACCCGCCGGTAATCTCAGCTCTTTGGGAGGCTGAGGCAGGAGAATTGCTTGAACCTGGGAGGCCGGGTTGCAGTGAGCCGAGATCATGCCACTGCACTGCAGTGTGGGAGACAGAGTAAGACCTTGTCTCAAAAAAAGAAAAGAAAAAGAAACTGACTTCTGCCCAAATCTCCATCCGTAGCCCTTTCCCCATCTGCCTTTTTCTCTGGAACTGCTGAGCTGCTGGTAATGCCCCTCTCACCATTCCTCTTTTGCAGGGAAATACATATGCTCTTGGAGGCTTCTATCCCTCTCTTGGTGCTGCCTGGCATGTGCTCACCCTTTCCTGCCCTCTGCCTCACTTAATCTGGCTAACCTTACTCTCTAAGTCTCAGCTCATGCATGATCTTTAGGAAAGCCATCCTTGACAGCTTTTATTTTCCTTCCTTATACCCCAGTGCCTAACACTTAACAGGAACTCAATAGCTAATTATTTGGCAAAGTTAAGACTGTTTATACAAAGATGATTCAGAAGATTGTCTTCTACAGTCTAGCAGCAAAGGGAATTGACATGTAAAGACATGATGTGCAGTTCAGGTGGTAAAGTGACACTAGAAAAATTGACAAAGTACTAAGGGAGCCCCAAGAAGCAGAAACGTGTGTATGTGGAGAAAGATAGCTAGAATCAAGGAAGACTTCACATAGCATTCTAAGCCTTTTTTTTTTTCCTTTTCTTTTTCTGTTGCTGGAGACAAGTTCTTACTCTATCGCCCAGGGTGGAGTGCAATGACATGATCGAGACTCACTGCAACCTCAAACTCCTGGGCTCAAGGGATCTTCTCACCTAAACTTCTTGAGTATCTGGGACTGCAGGCACATATCACCATGCCTGTCTAATTTTTTGTAGAGTCAAGGTTAGCTATGGTTCCCAGGCTGGTCTTAAACTCTTGGCCTGGAGCAGTTCTCCCATTTTGGCCTTCCAAAGTGCTGGGATTACAGATGTGAGCTATTATGCCCAGCCTACATTCTGAGTCTTAAAAGATGAAAATACATTTTTCAGAATTGTAGAACATTTGCGATGTAAAAAACGGGGTGCACACTAATTACAGTATAAACAATAATTTTGCAGATTATTAGTAACTGTCAACTCAATTAGTGTGTTGTTAAAAAGATACTGTTATGAAGTACAGTAAAGTGTTACGTTGTATATTTTGAGTGTATTTTAAAATTTTGTTTTGTTTCCAGCAGTTTTGTTTATTTATGTTGGGTGGAACAATTTGTGAGTGACCCTGAGATTGTGTATGGCTTGAACCCGGTGGTATCTAGTGTCTCCCCAAGTGGTTTGTTAAAGTTTTGGATAATTAAAAGTATTTCTTAAATAAGTAAATATTTCAGTAAACATTAAGCTTCATTTAAACTCTCAAAATATAAAATACAAAGAAATTTTATTCTCTATTTGTATAAAGATTATAGTATTTATTTAACTGTTATTAGTTCATTTGAACTAAACCTATGAATTTTTCAACAGAAGAAGACTTACTAGTGGCTTCAGAGGAAGAGCGAGAAAGGCTTGAAAGAAGTGAAAAGAAGCAACCACAGGTATATAAAAATTTAAGTTTCTTGTCTAATATTGGTTTTTTTTTTTGCTTTAATAACAAAGTGTAGTCCAAATGACATGACCTTTTAGACTATACCTTTAGAATCCAATAGATCATAATTTTAAATTTAATTTTTAAAACATTTAACCACTTATGAAACTTAAGATATTCCTACCATCTGTGGTAACTCATAGCTGTCTTTACCTTTGGAATTGAGGCAAGAAATTTCCAGTATTATCTTGCTCTTTTATTTTTATAACCTTACTCATAATACAGAAGGTAACATGAAATATTGAGTCATATTACTAAGGAATAGAAATTATGAACAATTTAACAATGATAGCCACTGAGTTAAACTAATGTTAAAGGAGTCATCATTGCTTGTGGTTCAAATTTTGCAGTTTCATATTGCTGGTCATCAGTGCCGAGTTTAAAGATTTATTCTGTTTTGTGGTTGCCAGTTGACTTCACTGTTTGTGTTCAGGGAGTGAATGGGGTCATAAAAGTCAACCCAGTTGTCCATTAAGAGAATTATACCTTGCAGAATGGGACCGTTGGTGTCAGGGTACAAACAATAACTTTATTTCAGCATAAATAAATAGTAAATATTACTAAAATTAAAAAAATCCATCCTCTATCACTAGCAGAACTTAAAATATATTAGAAGTGGATATAAGCAAAAAATCTATCTAGATACATAACGCTATCATAGTTTATCATTTGAATTAGAACTTAAAATTTTGCCTCTCTTTCTGATTGGTGTTCAGTTTGGCTCTTAATAATTTTGTGTTTGCCTAGTCTCTAATCTTCTAATCTTCAGAAATATAAATGCACTGTAGGGGCTCACCGGTATGCTGAGGTAACATCTTTTTAAGAGAAGAAGCTTTTATAATACCACATATCATCTTTGAATTCATTTCTGGTAGATTTAACACATAATAAGTTTAGTCCAAACAAACACTGACAGTTCAGCTTGCCGGTTCATGTTTTTCTCCTATGTTAAGGCAAGGCAAATTATTTTTCACTTTTTAGTTACAATCCCATAATTTAAGAGTAGCAACACATAGATTAAGTTTCACAGTTAAATTTAAATTATTTTCTGATATTTCTTTGTCTATACTTGATTAAAGCTAATTTTAAAACATGCGACTCTGACAGAAAAGACATCTGAGAAACAAAACAAGCAAATTAGTTTTCCACTTGTGCACCTGTGGACAAAAAAATTTCTCAGGAACCAGAACTGGGTAGGAATTGTGATAAAGGGAATATATCTGTATATTCATGACTTCCTTTAAAATTAATTACAAACAAGTTTAAGCTGAATATTGGTGAAAGTTTTGAAAACTCCCAAATTACTGCTTGCCCTGAGGAAGAGCTCCTACATAGTAACTGTAAAGAGGGATGAACTTAAAGGGAGTGCCCTCTAATCTGATGAATCATGTCCCTGATTTTGAGGAGGAAGATGCATCTGGAGGGTCTAACTCTGTGGCATTCCAGGCAGCGCCTGACAGAGGAAGTCCATATCAAATATCTTTTCATTCCATTCACACTCCAGGTCCCTGAAATACAGTTACCAGTTATCTTCTAAGCTTCATTTAAATGAAAATAGATCAGACTAAGAAATGATAACAAACCAGACACATAGCTTGTTTCTAACACAGATGAAGAAAATTTTTGTAATGATAAAGAAAAATTAAGGAACCCAGTAATTATGATTGAAAGAAAGAGATTAAGAGTTTAACATGCAAATGGCAAAAAATAGAAAGCCAAATACCACTAATTGGAAATTAGACATTAGGCATTGGCCTCAGTCTAGAGATCCTGAAAGTCGTTTTGATTTGTGGTTTACCCACCCCAAAGAAATGAAGCGTATGATTCAGATAGAAAACCACAGTAAATCTTCTGTTACAGATACATATGAAAACAGAAAACCAATACAGTGTTTGTTCCAGAAGCCACTATATGACAATCCCAGTGCTGATAACTACAAAAGCATGAATCTTGAATTATAAAATGTGAGTTATTCTCTACCACATAGTGAGAGAACATAAAAAGTATAGCTAGAAGACTTACAGCAGATATTCCAAGGTTTAAGAATGAGGTAGGCATGTTACAAGTTGAGTTCCTGGCTTTGGAGAAAGACAGTTCAACTTCAAAAATACAGAGGTTCACTTGCTGCTTCTCTTTTTTCTCTTTATCAATTATTTGATTCAGTCTAATTTTCTATTCAAGAAAATCTCATGTGTACAGTTACAGGGGGTTATCTAAATGTGTAATTATGTGTCAAAGTAGATTAGTTCTGCTATCTAAATAATGGTTCTGGAGAATGTTCTCATAATGTTTGTTCATTAATCAACCTAAGTCTCACTATCAGTCTTCCAAGTGGCATATGGGCTGGGAAACTAATTCAGCCATGTACCATGTGACCTTCTGAACCAGATAAAGAAAGTGCTGAAGAAACAAGGTCTAGATTCTAGATTATTTTTTTCTGTATTCATTTAGAGATGAATTACATTATTTAATGATAGAATGAGAATACAATGGGAGGGAAGCAATGACCGAGAAGAGCCACAAAAACACATCCAGCCTTGAGAGTTGCAACGAATATTCCCAGCCAAAGGAGTCTGTTTAATGTGTTTTCATGCATGCAAGTTTATCTGCTTAGCTCAAACTGTTTGAACTTACAGTCCCATCATGGTTATTTCAAATATTTTTGAAAACAAATATATATTTCCACATACTTTAAAACATTACCACTCTCTAATATTTCTGTTGAATCAGACCTTTATATTATGTTGTTTAATAAAATATGGTAAGTTTTGACATGTATGATTTTTATCATATAAGAAGCATAACTTCTCAACCAAAAATTTAGCATTTGACTCTTTAGTAGAAAGTTGAGTTCTGTAGATTGTGTTCTAAAGATGGACAACAATCTGGAGATTTACTTCTTTCAAAGTTAAGCAGATGAGGCCTTTTTCCACCCTCTGAGGCATTAAATTGCTTTGCTTCAGTTAGACTTTTAATATATCTAATTTGATAAATTTATCTGGTAATTTATGTAATTCAGGAATATGGAATTGTATCATATTATTTGGTGCCATGAAATGCTAGGGAATGCCACCTTAGGAGCTTTGGATGAAACATTGAATATGTCTTGACTGGTTTGACTCCCGTTAGCAGTAGATAATGGGGCTAAAGTAGGTAACTGTACCATATGTTTTCCACCTATAAACTTTTGTGGTAATTGAATGTGAAATCTGGGAAGCATCTTGTTTTCCAGAATTCTGCACTAGAAGCTCAGCAATTTCACTCTCCTTTTTGTGTTGTGGCAAACTTTTGTTCCCATAGTTCAGAGAGCACCTTTACTTTTTTGATATCCCAGGATTCAAATGAAAAAACAAAAGAGAGATGAAAGGCAGTGGGGAAAAGAATAGCTTAGTGCAGAAAAGGGAAAGTTTCTTTAAGCTTCTTTACTGTTCCTGAAGTCCTAGAAGGTCACATCCTCTTAATCTGGCTATTTCATGTAAAATCCAGGTGGTAAAGACAGAAGACATATGTTATGTCTGTGTCTTTTTATTTCTCTGTTTCTGCCAGATAGCATACAAATTTATATCAGGTAGCAAAGAGTGGATGGGAATAAAAGCACAAAGTGGAGAAGAGCCCTTGTTGAAATTTTGGAAAATTCTTCTATTCACTCAAACAGAAATGAGCAGACTTTACAAAAATTTCAATGATGAAATAAGAATATCTTACAATTATAATAGTTATGTATAATGATAAAATTAAATTAAGCACAAAATATTTTTATGATTAAAATGGTGACAACCTGAATCAAGTGAAAAAATCAGGGAAAAAGTTTTTTTATTGAATTAAATAATAATTATTTTATTAAAGGTCAAAGAAGGAAATAATACAAACGAAAGTGAAAAAATACAACTATCAGAAAGTCTATGTGATCACACATCTGCTGCTGCTGCTGGCAGATTAACCCAACAAAGAAAGATTGGGAAAACATATCCTCAGCAGTTTCCCAAGGTGGTGAAGGAAGAGCATGATAAGTAAGCCTGTAGGGGTGGTTTTGTTTTTTGGTTTTCTTTTTTGAGATGGAGTTTCTCTCTTGTTGCCCAAGCTGGAGTGGAATGGTGTGATCTTGGCTTACTGCAACCTCTGCCTCCTGGATTCAAGCAATTCTCCTGCCTCAGCCTCCATAGTAGCTGGGATTACAGGCATGTGCCACCGTGCCCAGCTAATTTTTTGTATTTTTAGTAGACGTGGGGTTTCACCATGTTAGCCAGGCTGGTCTCAAATTCCTGACCTCAGGTGTTCTGCCCACCTCAGCTTCCCAAAATGCTGGGTTTACAGGAGTGAGCCACCGTGCCTGGCCACCTATTGCAGTATTTAACAGCAGGTAATTGTCATTGTGCTATAAACTAATTCAAATTTGACTAATATTCTTTATGATTAACAAGTTTTAAACTTTTACCAGGGATATTTAGCCCTGTCTGGTAATGAGAAAAATGCAAATTAACATTAAATAAGATATATTTTTTAAAGTCATGCTGATATTTAAAAAGTAATTACTACTGTTGGCAAATGTGAGGAAAAAGGCATTCTCACACACTGTTGGTGTATGAAATTATTAAATTATTTCTGAAGGGTAACTTAGTGCTGTGTATCAAAATTTCAAATAACCTGACATCCCTTTAACTTGACAACTTCACTTCTGGAACTAGATTTCACAGGAAAACATAACTTGTGTAAACATATACACATTTATTAAGGACATTAATTATATATTACACATAATGAACAATAGGCCAATAAATATATAAAATATATGTAATAGCAAAGTGAATTGAAAGTATTAAGAAAGAAATATAAAAAGTATGGATATGTTAGACTCTTTAGCCTAGTTTTGGATTACAGTAATCTGCAGATAGTTTGCGTGAAAGACATGTGAAGGTGCCATCTTACACCGTCAATCATTTGGAGAGATACCTGCAATATTTCATAAAGATTAAAATTTATTTCTGGTGAACTTATACGCTTGTCAATAAATAGTAACTTTAAAAAATTAGTTAATTGTAAATGATCTTTTTAAATTAGGGAGTAATTATGACTGTGTGATTTAAAAAGGCAATTTTGAACTTGTAAATTTACTGAATAATCTCTAGTATCCTTTTTTATAATATATACTAGAGGGACTAGGAACACAAACTTTAGCAGAATATTCTTTCCTTACTACTTTTCAAGTATATGCATTCTTTTGAAGATGTTGAAATGAGAAATTAAATATCTGAGAACTAGAAAGGAAAAATAATCCAGAACATAGAAATTTTGTTAGGATAGTAACATATGAAGAGGTAGATCAGAAGATGAACTTTTTATTTTTTAACAAAATGAATTTTAAGATAAATGTCTTTATCTGCAGTTGCACTTTAAAACAAGAAAATGAAGAAAAAACGAATGTTAATATGCTGTACCAAAAAAAAAAATAGAGAAGAATTAGAAAGGAAAGAGAATGTAAGAAAGAAGTTGAAGCAAACAACTTGAACCCACTGTTCAGTCACTAGAGATGAAACCGAAGACTGTAAGAAATACTCCAAATCAGGTAAATCAATCTTTGGTAAAAATTCTGTATTTTAAACTTTATTTTAGCAGTGTTACTTATAATATCCCCTTGATTTAATATATATTATTTAGGTCTAAAACAAACCAGAAATGTTATCTCATTTTTAAAAATGAATGATGACACTTACAGGTACAATTATTAATATTTATTATAAATCTTGGCATCCACATAGAATATTATTTTATTACAAAGAGCTTTTGAAAACAATTATATACCATAATATACACTTAGTGATAACGTATTGATAAAAATTTTGTTCCCAGTAAAATTGTTCCTTTTTCTTTCCCTTATTTCATACTGATTACCTAATATTATAAAGAAGAAACAAATTATTGCAATCAAAAATAATCTCATAATATTCTAAGAAGAGTTCTATAAATTTTATCTTATTTACTATTGGTGTTTTGAAATAAAAGTTTTGTATTGAAATATTTACATCGCAGAAGTAACTGTGATCTGTTGGAGAACTAGAAGTAGAGTCAGAAGTCCTGGGGAAAATCCTGTAGCTTGCTTATATTTTTAACCTTTCTTTTTCAAAATTGTGGTAACTAGATGAGTTCATCAATGAATGTATATAGGAGTGACTAGTATAATGTCTAGATTTATGATTTAGTAAATGTAATTCTTATAACTGACTTTTAAAGTGTCAAAAGAGTCAAATTGCAATAGAATATTATCAGTGAAACAGAACTGTAATAACTTTGGAAAATTTTATCTGTCCAAATACATGTGAAGTAAGGTTCTTACTATAGGGTGATGAATGGGTTAGATATCAAAGTGTAAATGCAATTTTTTTGATATATTTTAATTTAGTCAAATTTCTTAATGCATTAATTTCTGCTTTTGGGTTTGTGGTAATTCAGGGAAAGGCTCTTCCATAAAGAGCCTATAAAATTAAGAATATCTTAATTTTAAGATATTCTTAAAAATTCTCTGGTGTGTGTGTGTGTGTGTGTGTGTGTGTGTGTGTTTACTTTTATAAATTCATTGACTTTAAATACATTTCTGAACTTTTTGGAATTTATGCTCTATAAGGTTCAAAGTTTTGCTTCAACTTTTTCTCCAGTTGGACATCCACTTACAGTAACCTTGTTAGTGTATGGATGTGCAGGTTATTCATTCACTTCAGAGGTAATCATGATAGTTATTTTATTGAGTACTAGGTAAAACTTTCTTTTTGTTTTATTTAGGATTTTCATAATCATGAAGAAATGAAAGATCTAATGGATGAAAATTGCATTTTGAAGACAGATGTTGCTATACTCAGACGGGAAATATGCACAATGAAAAATGACAACCTGGAAAAAGAAAATAAATGTCTTACGGACATTAAAATTGTTAAAGAAATAAACGCTTACCTTGAAAAGAGTATAAAACTCAATGAGGAAACAATCACAAAAACAGCATTCCAGTATTGATACAAGAGCTTCATGATCTCAAGGCTGAGAATACAGGGCTCAATTCCAGACTGTTGAGGGAAAAAGAAAGCAAGGCAAGACTGGAAGCTGAAATTGAATCGTATCAGTCTAGACTGGCTGCTGCTGTAAGTAAACACGGTGAAAGTGTGAAAACAGCAAGAAACCTAAGACTTGCTTTAGAGAGAACACAAGACGTTTCTCTACAAGTAAAAATGACTTCTGATATTTCTGAAGTAGAAGATAAGAATGAGTTTCTTACTGAACAACTTTCTAAAATGCAAATTAAATTAATTACCTTAAAAGATAAGTTCTGTAAGACAAGAGATACTCTCAGAAAAACGTCATTGGCTTTAGAAACTGTACAAAACGACCTAAGCCAAACACAGCAGCACGTAAAGGAAATGAAAGAGATGTATCGAAATGCAGAAGCTGAAGTGAGTAAATCCACTGGAAAGTGAAACTGTGTAGAAGAGAGGATACGTCAACTCCAACGTGAAAATCTGAGGCTTGAACAGCAACTAGATGATGTTCATCAGAAAGAGGATCATCAAGAGATAGTAATTAATATCGAAAGAGGCTCTATTGAGAGTGGAAAGAAAGACCTCCTGCTAGAAGAGAAAAATAAGAAGCGAATGAAAGAATATAATCATTTAAAAGAAAGTGTCTTTCAGTATGAGAAAGAGAAAACAAAGAGTAGTAAGTGTCAAGGAAGATAAATACTTTCAAAGAAATATTCTAGAAATACTTCTAGAAAGATAATTTAAACATTTGGTTCTGGATACATGTCGAACCCAGTTGAATATAAAAATCAATAGATAAAGTGTGTTTACCATACTGTATAATTCCATTTACATGAAACATCTAGAAAAGATAAATGTATAGGGACAAAAAGTAGATTAATGTTTACAAAGGGTGGGGCTGGAAGCTGGTAGTGACTGCTAATGGGTATGAGGGATTGTGCAGTGATGGAAATGCTCTAAAGTTGGGTTGTAGAGATGGCTGCACAACTCAGTAAATTTACTAAAAATCTTTTAACTTTATGTTAAAACAAATACTATAGTGTGTAAATTATATTTCAATAAAGCTTTTTAATTAAAAAAAGGAAAAATGTGTTTATTATATCAGCTTGGAAACATACCTTGCTTCCAGGAAATAAAAGGTGGAGCTGAGAGATGATTTACTTTGAGAAAAGACATTGTGTCACCTATGAAATTTTCTTAGGCACAGAGTCATATTTTAAGGTAGATAGTCCTGTGCTGCTGAAGCAATCATTTTAATGTCTTTATGTTGCCACATGTTAAGACCATGATGAAGGTATAAATGGAAATGTTTACATCTGAAATGAGTATTTTCAAAGTAAAATTTAAGTAAGTGATTCGCTTCGTCACTTAATTCTAGATTCCCCAGATGAACTGAAGTGTATTGCTGTGTCTTGTAATACCTTCCTTTAAGTAGCTTTTTATATATTTTAGTTGGTATAAGCTTTGCTATTATTCATATTAATTAAATTTAAATCTGAAAATGTCAGTCTCAAATTACGTATTTTTATGACCACATAATGTTTTAAAGGCACCTACTTGTTATAAAATTATAATTTAGGATAAATGTGATAGATTTTTAGCAAAACCATATTTGATTTGGTCTTCCCACTGGTATTTATAATTTACTTTGAATATTTTTATTAATAGCTCATAATTTTTATTTCAAGACTCAATGACTATCATTTGAATATAACTTTGTCCAGTACAAAGATACTGTAGCTGCCTGTGATTTATGAGTTAGGCATTAGATCCCCATTTTCAGACTAAAGAGGGGTGGCAGGCTTATGTACAGTGGAAATGGAGTGAGCACAGGAGGGAGTTGTAGGAGCTTGAAGTCAGAGAGGGAGGTAGAGGCCTGTTTACCTAGGGCCTCAAAGGCCATTGGAATTTTACTTTTATTCTGAGATAGGAATCTGTTGGAAGGATTTGAACAGGTGATTGAATATGTTAGGAACTTTGAGGTTGAGTTGAGCTTTTAAGATGATCGAATGGTGGGATGAATCTGTTGTGTTAAGTAAGAGAATACCAACTTGGCAGGAAGGTAACACATTCTGCCTCCCTCGCTGAATTCAGTAATAAATAAAAGTGTGTACATGTGATGAAAAGAAAGTGAATTGATGTGTGTGGTGATAATTTTCAAAGTAGGTATATTAGAGTTAAATGTTATTAACATAATAAGGCAATTTATAAAATCAGTAACAAAAATATTTTATCAGGTGGTTGTGAGGCAACTTCAACAAGAAGTGGCTGATCCCTGTAAAAAATTAACTACGTTAGAGTCTCCACTGGAAGGTACATCACATTGTCACATTGATGTGGATAAGACACAGGCCTCAAAGAAGAAATTATTTCAAGTGGAAAGTCAAATATGTATGGAAGTTAACATGTCGACAGTTATTCTGTAGCTGGTTGAATTATAGAACATGTTTTAGGATACTAATTTTGGCAGAAGCTTGATTTTGTATTTTCATTTTAATTATTTCCATTTTACTAATGTACTTGTTTTTTTATATTGTGACTTTAATTCTACCATTTTGAAAAACCATTGCATAGCTTTTCTCTTACAGTATGTACCCTTGGAAAAATTGAGAATTATACATCCTTCCTCACAGAAAATTGACTTTTTTCCTGTTAAACATATTTTCAAGTAATTTTTGTATTACTATGATGAGGCAGGCTAGATTAAATCAGAGGGGAAGGTTTAATGGAATGTTCCAGAAAATTGTCTTATTTCTTCACTTTTGTGAATGGACACAGAATCTGTATCTATTTATTTCACAGATTCTAGGTTAACTTGTAGAGAAAGTCCATTATACTACTCTTTGAAATGTACATGTTTTATGTTAATTTACAAACTATTTGAAAAGTTAGGCATTCTCTTTATCTTTTATTTAAAATATACAATAAAAGTGTAGAAATATTTAGATCTGATATAGTATGTACATCAAAAATTGAGAGCTGAGAAAATTATCTTGATCCTGCCATTGGATTTTAAAAACAGTTTCACTGAGATATAATTCACATATCAGACAGTTCAACCATTTAAAATGTGCAACTCAGTATCTATTAGTATATTCACAGCATTTTTGTCACCCTGAAAAGCAACCCCACATCGCCTAGGCATGACTGCAACTTTCCTCCATGTCCCTTCACTTACCCCGTTGTAGGCAACCACCATCTACTTTTGTCTCCATAGGTTTGCCTGTTTTGCATATTTCACATACATAGAGTTCTACAATATGTCGTCCTTTGTGACTGGCTTTTTCACTTAGCATAATGTTTCCAGAATTCATGCATGTTTTAGTACACATTGATAGTTTATTTCTTCTTATAGTTAAATGATATTGTATTGCATGGCTATACTTGTTTTCCATTCATTCATCAGTTGATGGACCTTTAGGTTAGTTTCCTCTTTTTAGCTATTATGAAAAATGCTGCTGCGAACATTCACTTACAGGTTACTACGTGAACATGTGTTTTTATTTCCCTGCTCTTGGACTTTATCCTCAGAGTTAATTGGGCAGATATCAGCACTTGTCTTGCTCATGCTAGCCTTTCTGCCTTCTTAGTTTCTGTTTATCTAGCCTCATTCATTCAGACCTGGCAGACAATTTTTTTGTTTTCCTGAAGCTTTCTCTGACTGTTCTGACTCTCATTGACCTTATGTGTTAGCAATTGTTGTCTAGTCTGTGCAGAAGAACTTAGTCCTTAATTTTACATGGCTTTTTTTTTTTATGGAAGATAATTTTCTCTCATTATAAATTTGCTTAACAGGGGAATAATATATAATAGGTATGCCACCTATCCTTGCATAAATTGAAAATATTTTAGCTTAGAAGTTTTTAGCATACAATTAAATACTTTATACCATACCAATTATTTCTTTTTTGAGACCTCGACACAATAAGGTTTATATTCTAAATGTATTTTTAGCAATTAACTCTCAAATCTAAACCAGTTAGTCTAATAGAGGAGAATCGATCAATCACATGTTTATGTTTTTCTCACTATGAGAAAGAATCTAAATTGGCCTTTTTTCACGATGCAGTCAGAACTGTCTGTCTGGACTGCTACCAGTTTGTCAGCTGAACAGTCTGGCTGCAGCTTGTCTGATGAATGATAGCAGAGCCCTTCAATCTGAGTGCTCAGCAGAGTGTTTGTGAAGGCAGCACCACAGCAACAGTTGCTCAGAGGGAACTGATTCAGGAGCTTCAATTTAGCAGTAGCGTCCAGGGTTTTCGGCTCAGTGTCTTTAGCCTGTCTCTGCTGGTTATGTCAGTTATGTACTATTCAATCCAGAAGGTGCTACTTACATTGTAGTACATGCATAGTCATTGCCTACTGAGTCACACAGAGAGAAAAGCAAGTTGCAAATATATGCCCCCATTTGCTGCAACTCTCAGTGGTGAGAAGAATGATTGCGTGCAATTATAGGAGACCACTTCCATTGGCTTGCCACCTGCCTAACATACACAATTTTGTTAAGATATACAATTAAATTATTATACTAGTAGCAAATATTTTTGTAGCTCACTATGTTCCACGTACTCTTCTAAGTGCTTCATGTTAGTCCCCAGTTAAACACCTGGTTGGGGGAGGTGACTCATGCCAGTAATCCTAGCATTTTGGAAGGCCGAGGCAGGAGGATCGCTTGAGCCCAGGAGTTTGAGACCAGCCAGAGCAATATAGTGAGACCCTGTCTCTTAAAAACAAAAAAAATTTAAATACTTAGCTGATGCATGGTGGTGCATGCCTGTAGTCCTAACTACATTGGGAGGCTGTGGTAGGAGGATCACTTGAGCTTGGAATATTGAGGCTACAGTGAGAGGTGATGAAGCCACTGCACTCCAGCCTGGGTAACAGAGTGAGACTCTGTCTCATAAATAAAAAGTTTTGTATAGATTCCCACAGAAGTGAGTTAGACATCAGGCTTAGAGTTATTAGCCACTTTGATGTCTGCCTTGGGAGTAAAACATATAATAAGGGACAATATTAAACCATCTCAATCAATAGCCTCTTAACTTCTTGAGAATGTTCTTTTTTCATGAATTTCTAAGCAAGAGACTACCTGGATTAAGACATTTGGTGGACACCATTTTGAGATGAAATATCTCCATTAGGAGGAAGGGAGACCTCTACTTGACTGGAGCTTCCCAACTGATAGAGTTGAGTGTCCCCCGAAAGAAACTTTAGAACAAGACTTTCATCATGCCATATCTCTATGGCAAAGGAAACTCTTTAAAAGAAAACAAAGGCAAACAAGTGATAATCTGATGGAAGAAAAGGGCTGGGTGCTGTAATCCCAATATTTTGGGAGGCTGAAGTGGGTGGATTACCTGAGGTCAGAAGTTCAAAAACAGCCTGGCCAACATGGTGAAACCCTGTCTCTACTGAAAACATAAAAATTAGCCAGGCTTGGTGGTGGGCACCTGTAGTCCCAGCTACTTGGGAGACCGAGGCAGGAGAATCACTTGAACCCAGGAGGTGGAAGTTGCAGTGAGCTGAGATGGCACCACTGCACTCCAGCCTGGATGACACAGTGTGACTCCATCTCAAAAAAGGGAAAAAAAGGGACAAAGTATACTGGTCCAAAAAAGAAGAAAGAAAAAAGGGACAAAGTATACTGGTCAGTATCATAATGGTGAGACTGTCCCACTTTGAGATTAGAAAATAACAGTATACTCAAAGTAATATCAATAAGAACCAACAGAATAGACAAGAATAGAATATACAAGATCCACTATCTGCAAAAGTAATCTGCACAAAGTAGCAATGTATGAGTGTGTGGCTGAGAATATTGTCTATAATATGTGTACTAGAAGGAAGAGGCCTCAAGATGAAAGGTCAGAGCTGGAAATGTAGATTAGAGAATCTAGGTCAAAGTTTTGAGATTTTAGGAGTCCTGAGATAATTTAAAAAGTGGAATAGCAGCTGGGCGTGGTGGCTCAGTCCTGTAATCCCAGCACTTTGGGAGGCTAAGGCAAGCAGATCATGAGGTTAGGAGTTCAAGATCAGTCTGGCCAACATAGTGAAACCTTGTCTCTACTAAAGATATGAAAAATTTGCCGGGCATGGTAGCACATACCTGTGATCCTATCTTCTTGGGAGGGTAAGGCAGGAGAATTGCTTGAACCCAGGAGGTGGAGGTTGTGTTGAGCCGAGATCGTGCCACTGCACTCCAGCCTGGGTGACAGTGGGAGACTCCATCTCAACAACAACAACAATAAAAACAGAAAGGCGTAGGGCTGAACAACAGAGGTTGCTGCATTTAGAAATCAAGTGGGGTCAGAGGAGCAGAGGGAGCATTTGGTCACTGCTCACAGTTGCTGCTGAG